AGGACTGAAACCTGAACAAGTGTTCAATTGTGACGAAACAGGCCTCTTTTGGAAGAAAATGCCAAAGAGGACCTTCATTACACAAGAGGAAAAGGCAATGCCAGGACACAAGCCTGTGAAAGACAGGCTGACGCTAATGTTCTGTGCTAATGCTAGTGGGGATTTCAAAGTGAAGCCATTACTAGTGTACCATTCTGAAAATCCCAGAGTGTTCAGGAAAAACAATGTTATGAAGAGTAAATTGTGTGTGTTTTGGAAATCTAATAGTAAGGCATGGGTCACGAGGGAAATTTTCGTCGAGTGGTTCAATGAAGTGTTTGGCCCTAGTGTGAAGGAGTATCTCCTGGAAAAGAAATTGGATCTCAAGTGCCTGCTAGTAATGGACAGTGCACCTGCTCATCCTCCAAGCTTGGATTACCTAATTTTCGAGGAGTTTGGGTTCATCACAGTAAAGTTCTTGCCCCCGAATATCACTCCTCTCCTCCAACCCATGGACCAGCAGGTTATTGCAAACTTTAAAAAAACTACACAAAAGCAATGTTTCACAGGTGCTTAACTGTAACCACAGACACTTGACCCTAAGGGAATTTTGGAGAGAACACTTCAGCATCCTCCACTGCATAACCCTTATAGGTATGGCTTGGGAGGGAGTGACTACCAGGACTTTGAACTCTGCCTGGAGAAAATTGTGGCCAGATTGTGTCGATAAGAGGGATTTTGAAGAATTTGGGACTGACCCTAATGAGCCTGTCTGTTGTAAAATCAATTGTGGCACTGGGGAGTTCCATGGGGTTGGATGTGAGTTTGGAGGATGTGGAAGAATTGGTGGAAGACCACAATGAAGAGCTCACCACTGAGGAGCTGCAAGAGCTTCAGCAGGAAGAGCAACACATCGCAGCTCCGAATCTTGCTGCAGATTAGGAAGAGAGATGGAAGAAGGTGCCTTCTTCAGAGATTAAAGAGATTTTTACTATGTGGAGTAAGATGGAAAGCTTTATGGAGAAACGTCACCCTAACAAGGTTGTTGCAAGCCAGGTTGGCAACATGTACAGTGACAAAGTCTTGGGCCATTTTAGGGAAGTGTTAAAGAGACGCCAGAAACAGAGCTCTCTCCACAGTTATTTTGTGAGACAGGACTCCAGTGACTCTCAAGGTGGTCCTAGTGGCATTAAGAAACAGAGAAGAGAAGCAACTCCAGAAAAGCAAATGGTACCTGAGGTGTTGATGGAAGGGGATTCCCCTTCCAAACTATAAACAATCCACTCTCTCTCTCCTCCAGTCTCCCATACACTAAGAAGAATCTCCAATAAAGGTAAGTGTTATGCTGTTAATGTTTCATTCATCATTTCCCATTGTATTATTTATGTACTACATGTATATTTCATGTTAAATTTTTTTTGGTTTTAATACTTCTGGGAGTCAGAAACGGATTAATTGTATTTACATTATTTCTTATGGGGAAAATTGATTTGTAAATCGTAAATTTCGTTTATAGTAACGGCTCCAGGAACGGATTAATTACTAAAAACGAGGGACCACTGTATATAGAAAGCCTATTGTTACGTTGAACATTTTGGGCAAATTAGGTCAGTTTTGTCCCCAAGATGCGACCTCACACCAGTCCACTAACACTCCGGTACCTATTTTATTTTGTAGATGAATGGTTCAGAGAACCGACATGTTGATAAATTAGACACATGTGCAACTCTTGGGTATCTTTATTGAGGAAACGTTTCGCCACACAGTGGCTTCATCAGTCCATACGTAGGAGAAACTTGAACAGAAGGAGAATGAGGTAATCAGTCCCTCAACCTTGAGTCGATGTGTTCAGTCCATCAATCTTGAATAGAATACGGCATATCAGCGGAGAAGCAGCTTGTAAACCATATGGCAGGAGAGGTGCAGCAGTCATAGGTCGTGTCATATTTGTTCAATGTGGAAGTAGGTCGTGCCCAAGAATTAGGCAAGCGAAGAATTCCTAAGTATTAAGATCCCAAGAAGTTGCAGTATCTGACAGATTTGTAGATGAATGGTTCAGAGAACCGACATGTTGATAAATTAGACACATGTGCAACTCTTGGGTATCTTTATTGAGGAAACGTTTCGCCACACAGTGGCTTCATCAGTCCATACGTAGGAGAAACTTGAAGAACAGGAGGAGAATGAGGTAATCAGTCCCTCAACCTTGAGTCGATGTGTTCAGTCCATCAATCTTGAATAGAATACGGCATATCAGCGGAGAAGCAGCTTATAAACCGTATGGCAGGAGAGGTGCAGCAGTTGTAGGTGGTGTCACATTTGCCCAATGTGGAAGTTCTCGACTTTGATTTGGCGTAGGAGAAGAAATACTTTGGGTTTCTTTCGATTTCATTTATGGCTTTTAGTTCTTCCCGCGATTCCTGACTCCTATAAGATTCCTTTAGCTTGAGTTCGATGCTTGCTATTTCTCTGACCAGTGTCTCCCTACGCATTTCAGATATATTGACCTCTTTTAGCCGCTCTGTTATTCTTTTCCATCGCCTGTAAAGGGAGCGCCTGTCTCTTTCTATTTTACATCTACTCCTCCTTTTTCTTAGAGGAATAAGCCTTGTGCATACATCGAGTGCCACCGAGTTAATCTGTTCTAGGCATAAGTTGGGGTCTGTGTTGCTTAGTATATCTTCCCAGCTTATATCGGTTAGGACTTGGTTTACTTGGTCCCACTTTATGTTTTTGTTATTGAAGTTGAATTTGATGAATGCTCCCTCGTGACTAGTCTCATTATGTCGATCTGGGGCTCCACGCATACATGTCTGAACCTCAATTATGTTGTGATCTGAGTATATTGTTTTTGATATGGTGACATTTGTTATCAGATCATCATTGTTAGTGAAGATGAGGTCTAGTGTATTCTCCAGTCTAGTAGGCTCTATTATTTGCTGGTTTAAATAGAATTTTGTGCAGAGATTTAAATGCTCGTGTGAGTGTGAGTTTTCATCAGAACTGCCTCCTGGTGTTATTACTGCAACAATATTATTTTCTATATTCCTCCATTTTAGGTCCTCAAAATGTCCAGTTCGGCTTGTTTGTCGTGGCTATTGTGTTATGTACATGTAACAAACGTAACCAAATCTGAGGGAAACCCAACCTATCATAATTAAATAAGTTTATTCAGGTATACACAAATACAGTTACATAAATGATCATACATAGCAGAATATGTGTTTTAAAAGAACCTAAAAAGTCAAGAGTGACTTATTTCCATGGGGGTCCTGTTAACCTTGACCTGCCAGAAGTAGATATGGGACTGGATCAACTTGACGTATAATTCATTTTTATGTTGGTTGGTAGTGTCAATACTAACCGTTAATTGGCCCTCACGTCATGTACGTCCCGATATGTATTATTTTTGCTGATATTCCCAATATATCAAATTGTATCGAGATATTAATATAATTTTTGTATTTTATAAAAGGAAAATAATGTGATTTCTCAAAAGTGCCGGATCTGTATATTAGTCCGAAACTGTTGAGTACCTGGCAGCCAGGAAGCAGCAGGCGCTCCCTCTCTGGATCACCACACTCACGTGCTGCCACAAGGTGCTAGTGCTCCTATATGTTGATTTTGAGACAGATATACAAAGACACAGAAATAGTCAAAAAATATAGCTTTAAGATAAGGTACGATAAAGCTCTTGGAGCAGGGAGAGTGAACTTAGTAGCGACAAGTGAAGAGGTTGGTTCAGGAACTGTGACTCGACCCCTGCAATCACAAAACGGCGAGTATTACAATATGAATGAATTAGTCTTCAATAGTTTCTAGATGCTGTGATAAAGTATACTATATGCATAACATTATTATTATAATCAAAAAGAAACGCTAAATCTATATATATAACAAGAAAATAAACCACACATTTTTTAACATTTTGAGCAGCTGCATCATTATTATCATTTATATGAAGCGCTAAACCCGTAGTCGTTTTAGAGAGACTGAGGCTCTCAGGTTCGATCCAAGGAAGGGGAGGACAAGTCCAATTCCTTGGATCAAAGTCGTCCCTCATCAAAATCAAGGAATATAATTACAGGTTAACAGGCGGAGAAAATTTGTTGATGATCGTCCATCCCAAGTTGACCTTTAAGTTTCTCTTCTTATATTCTTGTAAAATATTGAATATATATTGTATGTTATGTAGCCAATATAACAATGTGTAACTCAAAATATATAATGTGTAACATTTTATAGCTATTGTATAGTATATAGTAGTTATTTTACAATGGTAAATTTAATATTTACATATAACCAAGATATTTTGGGCGTTAAAAATCTGTATATTGGTGTACATAAATTGTTATATTACAATGGAGAGTGGAAGGAAGATGGTAAACCATAAAAAAACAAAAACAAAAAAGTCAATGGTTGTCAATTTAAATGTGTGTACTCTTATAAATAATAAATAAAACGTGATACAATTGTATCAGAAGTGACTGCCAGAGTACATGGCAGGCCACCACACACATAATATAATGGAGAGAGGAGGGATAATAGGGCGGGTGAGGGGTTGTGAAGAATGTTGAGGCAGCTGCTGGCGTCCAGGTAGAAGATAATTCACTTGTGGGTCACCATTATAGAGGTGGTGAGCCAATATTCCATACTGGCAACCCAGCCTCCTCCTACTCCGCCATTCCTCACATTTTCAACCTTCATTTCCAACGATGTTTGCGTTTAAACTTTTTGAACTTTATTATAACCAACAACCCGTTGCCAGAAGATTTTTACAGTAATGAAATCAGAAAAATATCGGGAACAATTTTATGAAACAGTTACTCAACATACACAAATACACACTGAATGTGCCATATCTAGGAGTTTTAAGGGGATAAATGCAGTTTTAATAAATCTGCATCAAACAGAAGCCTTTGGAGAATAATAGTTATTATGAACATATAATGACAATATGGTTGTAGGACAGTTGTTGGGAAATAATGTAAATAATAATATGGATTGATGTAGATGTGGCAGATACGTTGCTGCCAGGCAAGCGACGCCGAGTTGTTTACTTCGCGCACATGCACCAGCGTCTTCAGGAGAGAACCCTTATTTTGTGCTCTAAAATCCCTGACGTGAGGCTCTCGGCAGCCCCTGAATCCCCCCACACGCACACCGCAAACCCCCGCCTCCCTCACCATGGGTGATAAAGTGAAAAACCAGAATGGGGAAGTGAAAGAAGAGCGCCGTAAGGACGATGATGTAGGAGCTGAGGGGGACGACACTACGGACGATGAAGGAGGAGTAGATACACCGCCTCCCCAAGACCGTGACGACCACGACGACCATCACCCTGATGGCGAGGGCAACTATGAGGTGGGTGTGCCCATCAAGCACAGGTAGCACTCACCACTGACACCACAGTCCCCATTACCACCACTGCCTTCACAGTGACCACTTGACACCACTGCCTTCAAAGTGACCACTGGCACTGCCTTCACAGTGACTACTGGCACTGCCTTCACAGTGACCACTGGCACTGCCTTCACAGTGACTACTAGCACTGCCTTCACAGTGACCACTGGCACTGCCTTCACAGTGACTACTGGCACTGCCTTCACAGTGACCACTGGCACTGCCTTCACAGTGACCACTGGCACTGCCTTCACAGTGACTACTGGCACTGCCTTCACAGTGACCACTGGCACTGCCTTCACAGTGACTACTGGCACTGCCTTCACATTGACCACTGGCACTGCCTTCACAGTGACTACTGGCACTGCCTTCACAGTGACCACTGGCACTGCCTTCAGTGACCACTGGCACTACCTTCACAGTGACTACTGGCACTACCTTCACAGTGATCACTTGACACCACTGCCTTCACAGTGACCACTTGACACTACCTTCACAGTGACCACTGGGACTGCCTTCACAGTGACCACTTGACACAACTACCTTCACAGTGACCACTGGCACTGCCTTCACAGTGACCACTTGACACAACTACCTTCACAGTGACCACTTGACACCACTGCCTTCACAGTGACCACTTGACACAACTGCCTTCACAGTGACCACGACACAACTACCTTCACAGTGACCACTTGACACCACTACCTTCACAGTGACCACTTGACACCACTACCTTCACAGTGACCACTTGACACCACTACCTTCACAGTGACCACTGGGACTGCCTTCACAGTGACCACTTGACACAACTACCTTCACAGTGACCACTGGCACTGCCTTCACAGTGACCACTTGACACAACTACCTTCACAGTGACCACTTGACACCACTGCCTTCACAGTGACCACTTGACACAACTGCCTTCACAGTGACCACGACACAACTACCTTCACAGTGACCACTTGACACCACTACCTTCACAGTGACCACTTGACACCACTACCTTCACAGTGACCACTGACTGCCTTCACAGTGACCACTTGACACCACTACCTTCACAGTGACCACTGACTGCCTTCACAGTGACCACTTGACACCACTACCTTCACAGTGACCACTGACTGCCTTCACAGTGACCACTTGACACCACTGCCTTCACAGTGACCACTGGCATTGCCTTCACAGTGACCACTTGACACAACTACCTTCACAGTGACCACTTGACACAACTACCTTCACAGTGACCACTTGACACAACTACCTTCACAGTGACCACTTGACACAACTACCTTCACAGTGACCACTTGACACAACTACCTTCACAGTGACCACTGACTGCCTTCACAGTGACCACTTGACACCACTGCCTTCACAGTGACCACTGGCATTGCCTTCACAGTGACCACTTGACACCACTGCCTTCACAGTGACCACTGACACTGCCTTCACATTGACCACTTGACACCACTGCCTTCACAGTGACCACTGGTACTAGTGCCTTTAAACAGTGAGCACTGGCACCAGTGCCTTTACACAGCATTGGCACTAGAGCCTCTACACAGTGAGCACTGGTACTAGTGTCTCTAAACAGTGAGCACTGGCACCAGTGCCTTCACAGTGACCACTGGCACCACTGCCTTCACAGTGACTACTGACACCACTGCCTTCACAGTGACTACTGACACCACTGCCTTCACAGTGACTACTGACACCACTGCCTTCACAGTGACTACTGACACCACTGCCTTCACAGTGACTACTGACACCACTGCCTTCACAGTGACTACTGACACCACTGCCTTCACAGTGACTACTGTTACTAGTGCCTTTAAACAGTGACCACTGGTACTAGTGCCTTTTAAACAGTGACCACTGGTACTAGTGCCTTTACATGGTAAGGACAGACACTAATGCCTTTACACAGTGACCACTGGTACTAGTGCCTTTAAACAGTGACCATTGGTACTAGTGCCTTTACACAGTGACCACTGGTACTAGTACCTTAATGCACTGAACATTGGTACTAGAGCCTTGACACAGTGAGTATTGGCAGCAGTGCCTTTATGCAGTGAGCACTGGTACGAGTACCTTTACACTGAGCATTGGCACCGGTGCCTTTACACAGTGAGCACTGGTATTAGTGCCTTTACACTGAGCATTGGCACCGGTGCCTTTACACAGTGAGCACTGGTATTAGTGCCTTTACACTGAGCATTGGCACAAGTGCCTTTACACAGCACTAGTACTAGTGCCTTTATACTGAGCATTGGTACAAGTGCCTTTACACAATGAGCATTGGTACCAGTGCCTTTACAGTGACCACTGGCACCAGTGCCTTTACACAGTGAGCACTGGCAGTAGTGTCTTCACACATTGAGATCAGGCACCAGTACCTTCACACAATGAGATCAGGCACTAGTACCTTCACACAGTGAGATTGGGCACCAATACCTTCACACAGTGAGATCAGGCACCAGTACCTTCACACAGTGAGATCGGGCACCAGTACCTTCACACAGTGAGATCGGGCACCAGTACCTTCCCACAGTGAGATCGGGCACCAGTACCTTCACACAGTGAGATCAGGCACCAGTACCTTCACACAGTGAGATTAGGCAGCAGTACCTTTACACATGGAGATCAGGCACCAGTACCTTTACACAGGGAGATCAGGCACCAGTACCTTCACACTGAGATCAGACACTAATACCTTCGCACAGTGAGATCAGGCACCAGTGCCTTCACACTGAGATCAGGCACCAGTACCTTCACACTGAGATCAGGCACCAGTGCCTTCACAGTGAGATCAGGCACCAGTACCTTCACACAGTGAGATCAGGCACCAGTGCCTTCACACTGAGATCAGGCACCAGTACCTTCACACAGTGAGATCAGGCACCAGTGCCTTCACACAAATCAGTCACCAATGCCTTCACACAAATCAGTCACCAATGCCTTCACACAGTGAAATCAGGCACAAATACCTTCACAGTGAAATCAGGCACCAGTGCCATCACACAGTGAGATCAGGCACCAGTACCATCACACAGTGAGATCAGGCACCAGTACCATCACAGTGAGATCAGGCACCAGTACCTTCATACAGTGAGATCAGGCACCAGTACCTTCATACAGTGAGATCAGGCACCAGTACCTTCACACAGTGAGATCAGGCACCAGTACCTTCACAGTGAGATCAAGCACCAGTACCTTCACACAGTGAGATCAGGCACCAGTACCTTCACACAGTGAGATCAGACAGCAGTACCTTCACACAGTGAGATCAGACAGCAGTACCTTCACACAGAGAGATCAGGCACCAGTACCTTTACACAGGGAGATCAGGCACCAGTACCTTAACACAGGGAGATCAGGCACCAGTACCTTCACACTGAGATCAGGCACCAGTACCTTCACACTGAGATCAGACACCAATACCTTCATACAGTGAGATCAGGCACCAGTACCTTCACACAGTGAGATCATTCACCAGTACCTTCACACAGTGAGATCAGGCACCAGTACCTTCACTCAGTGAGATCAGGCACTAGTACCTTCATGCAGTGAGATCAGGCACCAGTACCTTCACGCAGTGAGATCAGGCACCAGTACCTTCATGCAGTGAGATCAGGCACCAGTTCCTTCATGCAGTGAGATCAGGCACCAGTACCTTCATGCAGTGAGATCAGGTACCAGTACCTTCACACAGTGAGGTCAGGCACCAGTACCTTCACACAGTGAGATCAGGCACCAGTACCTTCATACAGTGAGACCAGACACCAGTACCTTCACACAGTGAGATCAGGCACCAGTACCTTCACAGTGAGATCAGGCACCAGTACCTTCACACAGTGAGATCAGGCACCAGTACCTTCACAGTGAGATCAGGCACCAGTAACTTCACACAGATCAGGCACTAGTACCTTCACAGTGAGATCAGGCACCAGTACCTTCACAGTGAGATCAGGCACCAGTACCTTCACACAGTGAGATCAGGCACCAGTACCTTCACACAGTGAGATCAGGTACCAGTACCTTCACACAGTGAAATCAGGCACCAGTACCATCACAGTGAGATCAGGCACCAGTACTTTCACACAGTGAGATCAGGCACCAGTACTTTCACACAGTGAGATCAGGCACCAGTACCTTCACACAGTGAGATCAGGCACCAGTACCTTCACACAGTGAGATCAGGTACCAGTACCTTCACGCAGTGAAATCAGGCACCAGTACCATCACAGTGAGATCAGGCAACAGTACCTTCACACAGTGAGATCAGGCACCAGTACCTTCACACATTGAGATCAGGCAACAGTACCCTCACAAAGAGATCAGGAATCAGTGCATAAAAGAAAAAATAATTTTAGAGGAGCAGTATAGCATGTACGTGATGTCATAGGGTGAGTCCAGCATTTTGGCAGCCATGTGGGGACCAGTAATGTATTGTTTAACTCACCTATGGCCTAATAAAACTGTATGTTTAAAGCATAATACTCTACATTAATTCTACTACTAGTACATATAGTAATAATAAACATACATAAATTTTATTCAGAAACATTGGTATAGTTTTTATTTGTAAAGTGTGTTCACATTCTAAAATAATGTTTTAGTATATGTCCCTCTCTCTATCCGCCTTTACATTTCATGCAGTTGACACTCGATATAAACTCGTCTGCCACAGATACTTATTTAGCTGAAGCATTAAGCTTGGGGGTCATACAGCACTTTTTGGAATGGGAGACAATTATTGTGGGTTTGATACAAGAAAAGAGTATTGATCCAATTACTTATATCAAGAGCTCCTAAAAAGCATTGAGGAGCCTCCATTGAGGGGACACATAAGAAGTTGCATAGAAGAAAAGAATAAGTATCAAGTTCAAATAATGGAGAAGAATGCATGGTGGGGAGATTGGAACTGTAAAGTTCAGGGTATAATTTGTTGTGAGGCTCTGAAC